GAAATATAGAGATGGAGTAAAGTTTTTGAAGGAAAAGTGGATACTTAGGGTTAACTAAGATAATAAAGAAAAGATGGGGAGTTATCTTGTTTGAAACCAGATAGCACGTTTCCCGGTGATTTCAGCTAGATGGTACCCGAGCGTCGACTCTTTACCTTGGTGGGGTTTCAAGGAGGCCTTCTCCTGACGTCCAGCAAGGCTGAGTCTTTTTATCTCCAGGGATTTATATCCGCTTCTCATCAACTTGGGACCACGAGGCTGACTGGCCCAGCTTCCAAAATAAACTCCCCCGAAGGATAGGGTTAAGTTAAGTGGAATTTCAGCAAACGTGCTGAACTCCTGAGATGTTGAATAGGTCTTTGGCGTGATGACTTGAAGCAACACTCCAGACAGGTGTCATCTTTCAGAAAATGACCACAGTGGACTTCACCCTTGCAAAGTCACTCTGTCTTCCTTCTCAGCAGAACTCTCTATTCTGAACTTTTGGAACTTCTGTTCTCTTGGAACTTCTGTTCTCCTGGAACTTCTGTTCTGTCTGGAACTAGGAAGTGTCAACTTTTAAAGAGTTCTGCTTCCGTTCACTTTTGGGAAGTCCTGATTGGTTGAAAGAACCAACAGGGGTGTGGTTTTAGTGACGTCACAGGGTCACTACAAGTCAGAAAAACAGCGGAGATGTTTAGGAACAGAGAAATGTTTTGGAGAAATGACAGACTTACAGGTGCCAGTTTTCTTGTTTCTGTCTGAGAGGTAAAAACATGACAGTTCGTTCCAATAACTTGTTTGCGACTGTCTCCGACTTTTGACCGACATCACACCTTTCTCATTTCAGACAGAAGATCAAAAATGCATAATTACTTTGTAACATAGACATTTAACTTGATTTCTACTTTGAATGAGGATTAAAAAATCATTAATACTGTTTCACAATTGATTAAAAATGATCAGTTCAGGATACAATTAGAAAGTCTCTGGATGAGCTAATTTGTATTTCTGGATTCAAATCAATGAAATAACAGTTCCTGTCCCATGAAGGTCTTCAGAGGCAGGTTTGACCGGAGGCCGAGTTCACTACATTTGCTTGTTTTGTTTCTGCTGTACAGCACTTTGGTTGGCCTTGTTGCTGTTTTAAGTGCTTTATAAATAAAGTACTATGGTATGTTTTTTTTTTCAATGAAAGTGAATGGAAACCTTTTAGCCTCACATCCTTCAAAGCCTTTGTGCTGTTGACAACCTTTTACTGCTCATTTTAGTTTTTCTTCTGCTTCAGCTTTATTCAGCTTCTTTCTGCTCTGTTTAGCATTTTTAAGCTATTCTGCTCCTTTCAGCCACTTTCTGCAAATTTTAGCTTCATTTTTAGCTATTTTTTTGTCTATTTCTTTGTATTCTGCTTATTTCTCCTACGTTTCTGTTCTATTCAGCTTCTTCAACACATTTATGTTGTTGTTCTGCTGCTTTCTGCTTTTAGTTTCCTGCTTTGATCAAATGCCAGCTGTTCAAATTCAACTGGCATTAAAACCTTTTCAGCTGTTTGCAGCTTCTTCAGCAGCTTTCAGCAAAAATCATTCAGCAACATTACACGAGATGACATTTCTTTAATGAAAACAAAATGCACCCTGATGTTCAGATTAAATTTATTTTCAAACTATTGGAAAATTGATTATAGCTAAGATGGAAAACTAGCTGGGAGGGTTTTCTACCTGCTAATAAAACATAAATCTCTACGCATGCGTTCTAAGTTTCTCATACTGAACATTGTTTAAGTCCCAGTTTTTACAAAACACAACAGAAAATTCTCTCTTGAAAACATAGACAAGAAGAACCAGAACACTTGTGTCTAAATAAACTGACAGAAATATAAATTCATGAACCATTTTTTGTGCCTGAAGTTAATTTTGATTAGTATATTTTTAGCGTAAAAGTTGACCACAAGTACAATCTTTAACTCAAGACTTGATGTAAACCTTTTCTCCTTTTGATTTCAAAATGGCAAAATAAATATATTGCAAATAAATATTTTATGGCCCATTTAAAGGATGGAAAGCCTAAGCAAAACTTAGGCTATTTCTTCTCCAAGGTGCATTATCATTCGTCACTTCTGTCAAGATGGAGATGATATGATGCTGAAATTGATGACAAATTATAGCTCCGTGTAAAGTGAGACATTTAAAATGCCCACAGAGCATATCATGTAAAGGTGGCTAAAGAAATAAACCTCAGTATTCACCCGAGAGTTGAGGTGATAAAACAGCTTTCATCACAGACCACTGCTTATCCAAGAAACCTGATTTCCGGACATCAAAAGTGCTTCCTGCAATTTGAGGCCTTTCCCGTCAGCTCTCAGTCAGTCAGTCAGTCAGTCTGCCTGTCCACAGGCCAATCACGTTTTTATTGTTGCTGAGCCGTCTCCAGCAGCAGGCTGCAATTTGGAAATGAGCCACAGAGATGCTACATTTCTATGGTCAGTGCAGAAAGTGTGTGAAAATGAACATTTGATGTTTACCCAGCAGCTTTCCTATCTGGAGCTACTGACAGGTCTCACTGCTAACACACACATTTATCCATTGTATGAGTTCCTGCAGCTCGCGTACAACAAAACCTGCACACACTTCTCACAGCACAAACGGAGAAACTAACAGGAGCAGGAATTTATTTATTTTTTGCTAGTTTGACTGAAAGTTGGTAATAGTGTCTCTGCTTCTGTACCTCTTTCCTGCGGGGTCCCCACAGGGCTCGATTCTTGGAACCCTTCTGTTTTCACTCTATCTGCTCCCTTTGGGGTCTTTCCTGAGAAAACATGGTCTTTCATTTCATCAAGCTGATGACTGCATGACATGCATGCATTTTGCTCTGTGTGTCTGGATGATGCAGACATCTTGTGACAATAAAAATAAACTTTTCCTCCCATTTTTTTCCACAATACATTAAGAAAAAACACATTTTCTTTTACATTCATGTCTTGCATAAACCTTTAGTATACTTAAGTTTATTTCATTTTCACCTGGGTAAAGCACTAACAGGACATTTTACTTCTTTATTCTTGTGAAAACTAAAGTGTTTTCTCACTTCCCACATACACATACAAATTTAAAATCTAATTTCAAAGCACAGCAACATGTACATTATATTTCTAAATATAAGCATGTAGATAGAGAACAGAAAGTTTCAACATGGAACTGAAATGCTGTCGCATGACCAGTTCATCACACCTCATCTGTTTTCAAAGTACAAAACGTGACGAGAGAGATTTTGGTCAATATAGCTTTTATTTCAGCAAATCATACATACACTGTAAAAAAAAATGCATCTGTATTATCATCACCTAACGTTATCAGAGTTGGGGTGACGGTGTGTGATTGGTTTAGGAGTGGCTACGGTGCGGCAGGTCATGAAAGAAAGAATTTGCATGTCGTCACACTCATGAGACACTTTAAGACTGAACCGTTTTCCAGCTGAAGTGAATGTACCTTCAAAGTTAGAAGGGATGAGGAGGAAATGAAACATACACAGTTTGATGGCACTTCTCGGGTCACAACATGTATTTGTTCAAAAATATTTTTGATTGAAATAAGCCAAATGGTGGATTAATTACTGCAAATGAACAAAGGAGCAGAGCTGATCCCAGGTCTTAATAACGCACGTCTGACATCAGCCATCTGGCAGATCCACACTATAAATAGTTACAGCAGAGATCGAGCTACTGAAAGCAAACACTGTAAGATGATCATCTTCTTCTCAGAGAAAGCTGTCTAAAACAAAGCTTCCTGTTGCCAGTGTATAATCTATAAAAACATTCCCTATCCAGCAGAGTCTAAGTGTTTATATGCCTTAACTGCTAAGCATTGGTGTGCTTCTCTACATTCTAGCTATGGAACAAACCAAAAGATATAAAGCATGACCTGTGTGACACCATCACAACACACTGGCCTAACGTTAAACCAGCAGTTTAAATGTTCTGTTCTGAGGAAAAGCTGCTCACAAATAATATTTTACTTGTTGCGACCATCACGCCTCCTTGATTGATTTCAGTTTGAAACAGGAGTTTAATTGAGTTAAAGTTTGCTCATGCTGCTGAAAAACAAAGGCTTCGGGTGCAGAAACATGTGCTGCAGCCTTAAAACAACTTCATTCGTCAAATTATTAGCATGCGTCATATCATTCATCTTTACACCTCTGTCTGGTCTGCATTACACAATCAATCCAGCAGAAATATTTTGATATCCCTGCAGGAAGTGGCCCAGGCTGCACTCGAGGTGCTACAGCTAGCTGCTGCCGCCACTATTTGTGCTTGTAATATTCAGTGTAAATAAATGCCTAACTGACGGGGGTGTAAAGGTTTATTAAACAGCGTTTACACGAACCACAATGACGTCTTTCGATGGAACATTAATACAGAAGCGATCAGCTGTGATCTTGGCTCTGTTCTGACTAGCCATTAGCTCATGATTCTGGTATCAGCAACAGGGACGAGATTAATTGCTCGTAACTTTTCCGCAGAACAGAGGATTTGAGCATTTTCTTCAGCAGTAAAGCCGCTCGTACGCAGCGTCGAAGCAGTTAAGATCAGCCCGGTGAGCACGCTTCTCCCTCCGTCACCGCCGGTCTTTACCAGTAAAAGGCACACCTTCCTCTTTTACCCCAGCCCCAATATATTCAACACGTCTGCATGGCTGATTAGTTTTCTTTCATTGTGCAAGAACGTTTTTTTTTATTATTTTTTATTCTGTTCGGCTGTTTAGATCTGCAAATATAAAACCATCACTAATCTATTTCCTTCTAAACTCCCAGAAGGTTGTCTTTGAGCCCCCTCACCTGTACAGGTAGCTTCATCTGTACACAACATGTTTTTTTTTTCCTGTTTTAGTTCCTCAAAGGTTTGGCCTCTGGTTCTACAGCACAGCGTTGCACACACTAAGACCAATCTGTTTCATCTTTCAGCATTCATCTTACACTGGATTAGAAAAATAGATAACAATAAACCCCCCACCCCCCACCCCCCACCCCGGGGCACCAAATTACCAAAAGACAAAACAGTCATTTCTTGTCCTTCCTTACTGAACCTCTGGAGTCTCACTGAAAACTGCCATTATGTTGGCTCAGTTTATTATCCAACCTACGTTTGTTCGTATAAATTAGTTCTAACTTTAATTCTTATCTTGTTTTCCCACAAAGTTACAGTCACAGTTAAAAATTGAGATCAAAAGAAACCTAAAGAACGCAGTTTTTTTTTTATCTACATCATCAACGTCCCACCTATGCACAGAAACATTTTGATAAGGATAAAAGGAGATGAAGACGATGGAGGGAAATCTCTTTACCGTTGTGCCTCGGGCATCAGCACGCTCGAGCATGAGAGTGCTGCACAAGGACACGAGACACCGAGGGACACAGGGTGTCCAATGAAAGAAGAGGGTCTCCTGCACAAGTGATCAAATCCAAACAGATCGACTGCTCATCGTATTCTCTTGTTGGTTGACACACATGTACAAGTATTTTTTTTCTATTTTAGCAGAAGGGAAAAAAAAACATAAAAAGTATTTCAGAAATGTTTTTTTTTTTTTTTTCACCAAAATCGATGATAAACAGCACACTGAAGAGTCCAAAGGCTGTTAGTAAGATGATGAATATTCTGCCTGGAGAGTCACCTAAAAACGTGCAATTTGACCAAATATACAGTTTTTTTTGTTTGTTTGTTTGTTAACTTAAGACAGATATTCATCATTGTCATCATCGTCATCCTCATCTTCGTCATCCTCGTTGTCCATACCTGCCTGGTCGTTAGGGATAAACGAATCTTCATCGTCATCAGTGAACAGTGAGTCCCCACTGCCCAGATCCCCAGAAGACTCCAGAACGACACCTAGAAATTAAAGAGTGAAACGACGACACAGAAAACATCAACTTCATATTAAAATAATACAATAAAATGACAAAACGTTGAAACGTGTTGCTTCAAATTGGAATTTCAACATGTTAACTTCACTCCCACTCCCCCACCACCACAAATGACATAGAGGTAGTACCAGGCAGACTGTTGCATTAGGACAGATAAGTGTACATTGTGAACTGACATTTCCTTCATATTTTAAATTAACTGAATCCACCCTGGACATTAAACTGAAATAATTCACCTGAAAAGTGTTTATTCAGTTTATGGAGCTTGATGAATTGCAAAATCAAAGTATTTTTAGTATTACCTTCAGAATTTTGACAAAATATATTTTTCCCTTCTATCTAAACCTGACGCTTCATGATTTTCTGTTTTCCAAATCAAAATACTTTTATCTTTCCAGACTTTTATACAACTATTCAAAGAGTGCTTTATAATTTAGTTTGTTTTTTAACATTTTGCTGAAATAAACTTCACTAAGTTTATATGTTAAGCTTAAAGCAACCAAAACTGGACTATTTTTATATTTTTTCCTCCTTCCACAAACACAGAAACCAGACACCGGGCTCAACAGAGCTGAGTTTTTTAGATTTTGCATACCGCAGTCTGCAGGGCCATGCGTGCGCGAGCCTGCCACCTCGTTGCCGTAGCGATCCACACACCAGCACTGGCCGCTGCTGCTGTGGCACTGGTGGGTCCGGTAGTAACCTTCCTCATCACAGGACGGCAGATACTGGCCTGACCCAAACACACAGGGACATGCTTCCCGTTAAACACGCACAAACGGTTGTGTGTTTGTGAACCTGCGAGGTTCTTACCAAGTAATTTCTTCCCGGAGAGCTTTTTGTTGATACCGGAGAGCTCGGCTTTGCATGGGGAATCTGAAACAGACAGAGACGAGCTGTAAAAATCTGCTGCCTCCTGTTTGAATCCCAGAGCTTTTTGTCTCTATAATGATTTTTTTAGCATCCTGCTGTTTGGCCTCATCATAAATAATGTTGTCTTTTGTTGCAGAAAAAGAAGCAATTTGCAATTTCCTCATGATTCATGCAGTTTTCTTTCTCTGCATAGTGTTGCTGTTTATTCTGCTTCACCCTACTATTTTGCCTGAAAAGAAGCCATCTTCACTGATTGTTTCGGTACCGATTATTAAAAAAGTTTTCAAATGACACAACCGAGAGCTTGTTTACAGAGTTGGATTTCTTTGGTTGGTTGTGGAAAACAAACTTACTGACCAATGTAACTTCTGGTCTCTGGAGGACCACGCTACAGATGTTTTACCACTCGGTGGTCTCTGGAGGACCATGCTACAGATGTTTTACCACTCAGTGGTCTCCAGCATCTTCTACTCTGTGGTGTGCTGGGGCAGCAGGGTGAAGAAAGCTGATGCCAACAGACTGGATAAACTCATCAAGAGAGCTGGCTCAGTTCTGGGCGTGGACCTGCAGTCTCTGACAGAGGTGTCTGAGGAAACTGCTCCAGATCCTGAACAACACGTCACACCCCCTGCATGACACACTGGACTCTTACTGCAGCACCTTCAGTTGTAGACTGAGACCACCGAGGTGCTCCACAGAACAACACAGGAAGTCATTCCTCCCTGTGGCTATCAAACTTTCCAACCCCACCCCCTTTCTGCACATAAGATAATAAAATTAATCCTGCACCACAATAAACACTTTAATGTTTCTGTCTGCACCTGACCTGTTTTATAACTTAATTGTTGGTATTTTTATATCCATCCATCCATCCATTTTCTTTACCCGCTTGTTCCATTTTGGGTCACGGGGGTCGCCGGTGCCCATGTCCAGCAATCACTGTGGGAGGGGCGGGGTACACCCTGGACGGGTCGCAAGTCCATCACAGGGACACATAGAGACAAACGAGACAAACAACCATTCACTCTCTCACTCACACCTATGGACAATTTAGATTTACCAATCAGCCTAACATGCATGTTTTTGGTCAGTGGGAGGAAACCGGAGTACCCGGAGAAAACCCACGCATGCACGGAGAGAACATGCAAACTCCACCCAGAAAGGCCCCTGGACCGGGGTTTGAACCAAGGACCTGCTCGCTGAGAGGCAGCAGCTCTACCAGTTGCGCCACCGTGCTGCCCTATTTTTATATTATGTTATTTATTTATTTTATTTTATTTTTTTATACCCCTCCCTGGGCTGCCACCTTACCGTGGTGGAGGAGTTTGAGTGTCCCAATGATCCTAGGAGCTATGCTGTCAGGGGCTTTACGCCCCTAGTAGGGTCACCCAAGGCAGACAGGTCCTAGGTGAGGGACCAGACAAAGTGCAGCCCAAACACCCCTATGATGAGTAAAAGAAATGGACTTGATGTTCCCTGGCCTGGATGTGGGTCATTGGGGCCCCACTCTGGAGCCAGGCCTAGAGGTGGGGCACACGGGCGAGTGCCTGGTGGCCGGGCTTTTACCCATGGAGCTCGGCCGGGCACAGCCCGAAGAGGAGACGTGGGTCCCCCTTCCCATGGGCTCACCACCTGTGGGAGGGGCCAAAGGGGTTGGCTGCAATGTGGGATGGGTGGTGGCCGAGGGCGGGGACCCTGGCAGTCTGATCCTCGGCTACAGAAGCTGGCTATTGGGACATGGAATGTCACCTCACTGGTGGGGAAGGAGCCTGAGCTGGTGTGTGAGGCTGAGAGGTTCCGGCTAGAAATAGTTGGACTCACCTCTACGCATGGCTCTGGCTCTGGAACCAGTTTCAAGTATCTTGGGGTTTTGTTCGTGAATGAGGGAAAAATGGAACATGAGATCGATAGGCGGCTAGGTGCAGCGTCTGCAGTGAAGCGGGTGCTGTACAGGTCTGTCGTGGTGAAGAGAGAGCTGAGTCAAAAGGCGAAGCTCTCAATTCACTGATCGATCTACGTTCCTACCCTCATCTATGGTCATGAGCTTTGGGTTGTGACCGAAAGAACGAGATCTCGGATACAAGCAGCCGAAATGAGTTTTCTCCGCAGGGTGTCTGGGCTCTATCTTAGAGATAGGGTGAGAAGCTCGGTCATCCGGGAGGGACTCAGAGTAGAGCCGCTGCTTCTCCACGTCGAGAGGAGCCAGTTGAGGTGGCTCGGGCATCTGTTTAGAATGCCTCCTGGACGCCTCCCTGGTGAGGTGTTCCGGACACGTCCCACCGGAAGGAGGCCCAGAGGAAGACCCAGGACACGCTGGAGGGACTATGTTTCTCAGCTGGCCTGGGAACGCCTCGGGATTACCCCGGAGGAGCTGGACCAAGTGGCTGGAGAGAGGGAAGTCTGGGCATCCCTACTTAAGCTGCTACCCCCACGACCCGACCCCGGATAAGCAGAAGAAAATGGATGGATGAAAAAAATGGATGGATGTTATTTTTATATATCGTGTGATTCCTTGTGTATGTTCCTTTGTACTGAAACTCTGGCACAACAATTTCCTGCGGGATCAATAAATTTCTATCTTAGCTTATCTTATAAAGCACTGATTATTCGTTGTATAGATCTAGTAGAGTGCTGTTTGAATGAGTACATGAGTGCACAGATTGTAAAGTGTTTTGAGTATCTTGACAAGATAGAAAGATGCTATATAAGTACAATCTATAGATCTTTAAATCTTTGACTGGAGTCAAGCCTCTTCTGTCTTTTAGCAAAACAGCTCATGAACCAGAAATTATTCACTGGATTTACAAATACGGCTTATTTAACTTTGGAGTCAACCTGATTCAAGATGGCTGCCTTATCTAATTGACAAACTCAATGTTTTACAAACTATGAGCTAAAGTTTGGCGTGTGTGACTTTGTTTAAAATGCAAGGCGGTGGGCACGTGGCAAAATGTAAACACTGATTCATGAATCTAAATACGACAAACTTTATATCTTTAGGACAGTCATGGTTTCTGCTTGTGTTCACGGTCTATAATCCATCAATTATATAAAACTTTGACCTAAAACACTGTTTTTACAACCTTCAATGTGACATTTTGGCCATTTTTAAAGTAGCTAATGAAGAAAAGCTGGAATAGAAACTTGTCAGTCAATGTGTGGCTTCACTCCAACACAAAAATAGCTTTTTGTGAGGTACAAAAATATATCAAATGTACACAAAGCTGTGCTGAAAGTTTAAAACTAGTGGCTGAGTCAGTAAATTTTGGATCAAAAGCGCTCACCTGTGTACCTCTGGAAGCCCGTGCACCACTCAGAGCTGGTTATAATTTTGTCGGGATGCGTGTCACAGGATTTGAAGAAGGCGTCGGAGCACGGCTCATTCCTGTCCAGATACAAGCTCTTGATCTCCGACTGGTCCAGCTGCAGGTCAAAGTTAGTGTCCAGACGGGAGAACATCCAGCCCAGAGGATCCTTGCAAATGGGTGACGCTCCGACTTCAAACTCTGTGGGAATGTTTAAACAGGACAGCAGATGAGGTCAAACCCGTCGCTGTAACGGTCGACGACATGCTGAGGTTTCACTCACTGTTCTTTTCTGGTTTTTGGATCTTGACTCTCTTGTGGTTGCCGTTCTCGTGCAGCACTCTGAACCAGTCTCTCAGGCGACTCACCACCTCCTTCAAATCCGACTCACTGCAGACTGCGGAGTGATAACCATAATTGATTGTGAAGTCATGCTTTACGTTCCTTCTGCTCCCTGAGATAAAGAGGCAGGAGTCAGTCATGGAGCACCTCCCTCAAACTTCATCTACATTCACGAGTAGAAGTTTTACAATTGGGCAGTATAGTGACGCAACTGGTAGAGCTGTTGCCTCTCAGCGAGCAGGTCCCTGGTTCAAATCCCGGTCCGGGGGGCTTTCTGGGTGGAGTTTGCATGTTCTCTCCGTGCATACGTGGGTTTTCTCCGGGTACTCTGGCTCCCCCAAACCAAAAACATGCATGTTAAGCTGATGGTAACTCTAAATTGTCTCTAGGTGTGAGTGAGAGAGTGAATGGTTGTTTGTCTATATGTGTCCCTTTGATGAACTGGAGACCTGTCCAGGGTGTACCCCGCCCTTCGCACAGTGATTGCTGGACACGGGTACCGGTGACCCCCATGACCCAAAATGGAAAAAGCGGGTAAAAGATAATGGATGGATGGAAGTTTTACAATTTACAATACTTAGAAAAATATTTTCACACTGCTTTGAACTTTTCCACTTATTGTCTTTGGACGGTTACATTTGTGCTGTTCTCTTTCTGTGTTTAGATGATGAAATGAACAGTGATGTGTGAGATGTTTCAAGGTTTTGATGTTATTTTATAACTTTTATCCAACCATACATCAACCAATCGGTCGGTTGTTAAGTCATTCGGTCAGTCCATTGGTTCTGGACTCAGGTCTTGGGGACAGCAGCTTGATCAGGAGGTCCAGACATCTCTTTCCACAGCCACCTCTTCCAGCTCTTCTGGGAGGACCTCAGTGTGTTCCTCCAAGTCTCTCCAGCATCTCTGGGGTCTTCTCCAGGGTCTCCTGTCAGTTGGACAAGCCACTAACATCTCCCTAGTTACAGTAGGTGTCCAGGGAGCATCCTTACCAGATGCCTGAACCACCTCAGCTGGCTCCTCTGGATGTGGAGGATCAGAGACTCTACTCCGAGTCTCTCTGGGAGAACTGAAGTTCTCACCCTATCACTAAGCGAGAGTCCAGCTACCCTGTAGAGAAAACTCATTTAGACCTCCTGGATCCTCAGTCTTGTTCTTTTGGTCACTATCAAGTGTTTGTGATCATAGGTGAGGGTAGGAACATAGACCAACCAGTAAACAGAGCTTTGCCTTTCAGTTCAGCTCCCTCTTCACCACAATGGACCAACACAGAGTCCACAATACTGCAGACGCTTCACCGATCATTCTGTCAAACTCACGCTCCATTCTTCCTTCATTGTGGATAAAACCTTGAGGTACTTGAACTCCTCCACTTGAGGCAGTGCTTCACTCCCAACCAGTTTTAAAACCTAACATTGAACTTCTCACCAACTCCATCCTTGACCTGTGTGGTGTGTTCCTTGCTCTTCATGCTGCTGGTTGTTCACTCATGTTTTGTAATAGACCTCTGAGGCCTTCACAGAACAACTGGGTTTATACTGTCAAGTCAAGTCACATTTATTTATATAGCACATTTAAAACAGTAACTGTTATCAAAGTGCTTACCAAAAAAGATCACAGCATCAAATATTAATAATAACATATTATAGCAACATGAATAAAAGCATAAAAACATGAAATATAATGAGAAACAATGAAATACTAAATCAAATCACCCTGCGTTAAATGTCAGGGAGTAAAAGCAAAATGGATGAACACAATCATCAACAACGAAATACCAAATGAGATCACACTGTGTTAAATGCCAGTGAGTACAGGTGTGTTTTGAGGAGAGATTTAAAAATAGAGACTGAGGTGGCCTGTCGAATGTTGATGGGCAGATTGTTCCAGAGTTTAGGGCCCATGACTGAAAATGCCCAATCTCCTCTGAGCTTCAGCCTGGTTTTTGGTACGGACAAAAGCAGCTGGTCTGATGATCTCAAGGCCCGAGAAGAAGTATGAAGGAGGTCGGAGAGGCATGAGGGTGCAAGGCCATTAAGACACTTAAATGTCAGCAGAAGAATCTTAAAATCAGCTCTGACACGCACAGGAAGCCAGTGAAGGGAGGACAGAACTGGAGTAAAGTGCTCAAACCTGCGAGTTCCTGCTAGTAGCCGAGCTGCAGCATTTTGTACGAGCTGGAGACGTGAGAGAGAGAGAGCTGACTGACCCCAGCATAAAGCGAGTTACAGTAGTCCAGCCGGGTTGTAATAAATGCATGGACTCATTTTTCAAGGTCGGGTTATACTGAGGTTATATCACACACAATTTACCCATTAGGTGACTTCTGATGAGGTTAGGGTTTGTATTTGAGACAGAGGTATCAAACAAACAAACTTTGATGGCTTGTATTTGCAAAACAAAATAAAAAAAACAGGTATAATTTTTCTTCCACTTCACAATTTATGTTTGTGTCTGTCATGAAATCTCAGTGAAATACTTTGAAATTTATGCTTTTAATTTGACTAAATGTGTAAAAGTACAAGAGATAGCTGAAATGTGTACCTTTTTTCTCTGAAGAACTTTGTTGAGCGGGATGGGAGGTACAAGGACACATGCCAGGACACTTGACGGTGATCTTCTTTCCTGTGATGCATGCCTGGTAGTCTAGCTTACACTGATCAAAAGCAAGAGACAGAAGAAGAAGCGTAATCTGTATGTGTCAAGAGGAAGTAAAAAAGAAGTGACTTGGGCATGAGACAAAGGGAGTACTTTAACAAGAACTGCACCTCAATAGGAAAAAAAGTCAACAAAAGCTACAACTAATCAATATGTTTTCACACATTTTCAATTTAGTAGTTTGGCATACAATCTATTTTCATTTGAGGCCTCTTAAGCAAACGATCTTTGATGTCAGCTGAAAACTGACTGACCTTTCATCTGAAAGTGCACAAACCAAAAGAAAGCATCAACTCCCAAATGTTAACTTAGAATAATGAACAAAACATGAATTGCTGCTCTTTGTTTAGTTTACTGTTTAGTTATACTTCAATTTTTTTTGAAGTGGGATTCTGTGGAAAGGTTATGAACATTTAATATCTTACCTGTTGCAGATAGCTCAGCCTCAGTTTGAAGAAAGAGTTCTGACCAGATTGATGAGCTAACAGCTAGTCAGAAAAGGGCCAAAGTGGATTGCTGTCATCAACATTTCAGTGCAGTTCGTCTAAATGCTACTTTATAAACTTTTACATCACCATCAGTTTCGTATAAATTAGAATCTAAATAGAATGTGGTTATTTTGGCAACAGCAGCTAGTTGTAGATCTTCCTGCGCAGCCTGGAGAACGCCTTGCAGGAATAGTGTAATAATTCTGCTGGAACAATTGTTTAAACAAAACAATAATTGTATAAATGTTGATAAATTACATTTGACTTTAGCAACAATCCACTAGTTCTTATTTGAACTAGTTATTAGCTCATTAGTCTGGTCAGAATTATAATAAATTCTTTCCAACTGGGGTTGTCTAGAGAGCTATCTGCAAAAGATAAGATATTAACTGTTTATAATAAATAAATAAAAAACTCCTCAAATGATCCCAACTTAGTTAAAACTAGGGCTTTAACAGACTACTCGAGTAATCAACAGGTCGATTCCTAGGACGTCTATAGAGTTTTTAAATTTCACGTCGAGTATTCGCAGTGACCTCAATGTGTCACGTGATCCGCACCGGGCTACTAGTAGAAGCCACCAAATGGATTCCTCCCAGCAGACGGATGGAGCGGAGCACGCCCAGTCTTGACAAACAGGTAGAAATGCATCAGTAGTCTGGAAATATTTCACTAAAGATGAATCTTCCGGTTTAACTACTGTATGGAAACAGAAAATGAATCAACTTTCTGACTGTTTGGAGCTCGTTGCAACTGGTGTTATACCATATTCTGTGACCACCGTATATTGTAACCAGTGTTGAATGCACTGTTGCAGTTCACAGAATATGGTGTTCACCGGGTCCAATCGACCGAACCAGAACCAGCTTCCTTCTGACCTTGTTTCACAAACTAAAAGCAAAAAATATTAATATCTAAACCTATAAAAAACATATTTATCTCTAAAACTAAACCTAATGCGCACCACAGCTGGCGGTGGTGCGAGGTGGTCGTCCGCCCCACTGTTTTTAGTTTCGTTTTTGACGTGCCGCACGTTATTTCTTTCACTTTTGCAGCTTAATAATAATAATTAATAGTTTTGGTTTTCCTGTGACTTATTTGCAGTATGATAAATGGTAGGAGCATAATATATGCTCCCAGTGTTTTGATGGTCTTTTTTTTTTTGTAAATAATAAATGACGTTTTTTTGCGGTTTTATTTTTTATTTATTTTTTCATCTTGAGATCCTATGACGTCATCAACTACTCGAGTTCTACTCAAGTTTTATTATGTTAATGTCGAGTTTAAAAATTATGTAGTCGTTCAACCCCTAGTTAAAACCGTCCTCAAATGATCCCAACTTAGTTAATATCTTGTTAATATACAAAGGACTACTAATGGCAGCTGTGGCCGAGTGGTTAGAGCAGTTGTCCTCCAATGGGAGAGTTGGGAGTTTGATTCCACCAGCAGTCACATGCTGAGGTGTCCTTGTGCAAGACACTGAACCCCTCATTGCCTCCAATATGTGTCCCATCAGTGTAAGAATGTGATAAAGCTCTGATTAATCTTTGTATAGATCTAGTAGAGTGCTGTATGAATGGGTAAATGAGGGCACAGACTGTAGTGTGAAGCGCTTTGAGTATCTTGGTAAGATAGAATGGTGCTAAGTACAGTCCATTTACCATCTTTTTACTATAACTTTGACTTAGGGGCCATACACACGAGAACAATGTTTTGTAAGTACAAAAATTACTTTTATTTTATTTTTAAATTACGTCAGTCCTGTGTCCACATGGAAAGTGTTGTAATAGCCCCAAACTGTCGTTTTTGAAAACTGGTTCTAGAGAAAAGAAAGCCTAAAACACCACCCATGCATTTTCATGAAAACCCACCATTTTGAACATGATGACGTCATAACACCACAGCGGGAGTCCTCTTCTTTCTATTGTGTTACATTTCTCATCTAATGTGCAAGTACAATGCGCTCTATGGCTTTTGGTGTGTTTTCTTGGCAGCGCCACAGGCAGGCCTGACATAGTTGCTTCAACATTTCGGGGGGGGTTTGCTTTTCTACATTTCTACAAATGTTGCCCTGTTTACGAGGATACTTTTCGAAACAACCAATAAAATAACGTTTTGGAAAAAGTGTGTTTTCGTGTGGACGAGGCCAAATGTATTTGGTACTTGATTTATTGTACAGCGTGAGTGCATTCAGTTCCTCTGACTGATAATCGTCTACAGTGCATCCAGATCCCTTAAACAGATTTCAGTCAAGGTTCAAACTAATAGATCATTTAAAACAATTTGAGACAGCCTTCATGAGATTTTTCTTTTCCCTGTGTTTACATCACAGCGAGGTGAACAAAAATAAAATACGAGTCCACTTTTTCTTTGAGCAAATACCAGAGATCTGTCAGTGCAGGGCCCATCTCAGACTGAGTTTCTGTGTGAGGGTACCTTAGTGGAGTAACTGTGGCCGTCACTTCCACAAACAGGCGAGGGATGAACCACGGGGCACGGTTTGCACTTTGACCCTGGATTCTGGTACAAATTGGCTTCTTTGAAACTGAAAATAAAAAGATTGAGAACAATTTTACTTCCACATCTCCAACGTCCAAGGCTATAGTAAAACTACATCTTTAGTGATAATCTGAGAATGCCTTCTTGCAGCACAAGCTTTATGTTTCTCCGATGTAACCTCATGTTCTTACAACCATTTTCCAAATGAAATGAGGATTTAGGATTTGTGTGATTGTTTTTTGATTTCCTTGCACTGTGTAGTGGGAAATGTGTTGCTTCTAGGAATGGGAAATGAGGTCAGTTTGGAGTTACTGTCCTCCATCCAATTTGAGGCTGCCCAAACTGAAACAACCCTTCCACCACCCCCTCCCCCCACCCCTCCCCCCACACAAAGTCCATTCATATCACTTGGCAGGACTGGCCAGAGCCCAGGTACATGGACCAAGCTGCAAGGTCAGATAATGGTTACAAAATCTGGGAACCAGAATTAAACAAGTAAAGGTATACCCTAGCATATTAGGCTGCATATGTAGAACATTTCAAAATGGAAGAACAAGAAAAAATTAAACTGGTACATGAATTAAATTGGCTCCCAATTCACTTACATTTATGCTTCACTTGGTTTTTGGCAATGTTATCCACCATCAGGTGTAATGATGGAGTGGGGGTGGTGGCCTTGGCCAATGTTAATCTTCAGCCACTCCAGTCATTTGAGGAAACTATAGTTTTAAGCAAAATAAAAACTAGAAGGCAGAGTTTCCTCAAAGGACTGGGATGGTCCGTTTACATATAAACATATATGGTGGCAGACATCTTGGATTTTGATGTGGCAACCCAGTCTTTGATAGTGCTATTTTTACACCTGGATGCAGCCACACACCAAAATGGAAGATTGTGCCTAACCAATTTTTCAAGTTATTGTGCTCACAACATGCACGGATGAACGGACGGAGGATATTTCCTAATTCCCCCTCTTCACTACCCAACAGGTGAATACCAGAATGCAATTTTGTGGTAAAGATCGTAAACACAGGCATGCTTCAGAGGTTGATTGCATGTGTGTGTGTGTGTGTGTGTGTGTGTGTGTGTGTGTGTGGATGTACACACCTGACTCTCCTCTGGCTGACACAAGCAGCAGTCTTGTAATCCTCGGCCACACACACCTTGTGCCGACTGCATTTGATCTTCAGACAGGGGTCTTTGGCCGGATCAAGGCCTGAAAACACAGGACAAAAACTTACAGGGACTTTGCAAAACTTATTTACTGTTGGTGTGTGTGTGTGTGTGTGGGGGGGGGGTAGGCTGATAGACAGCAACATAGAATGTTTACAACTAAAACAGAAAGCCAATATTCCAAGCATTCACCTTTTATTATAGCTTGCAGCCATGATAGACGGATCATGCAACTGCCTGTGTGTTCATTTGTCTGTTAGAAAAATATCTCGTGAACCAATAGTTAGATTTAAATCAATCTTTCAGAATGCAATCACTGGGTGTACATCTTCAACAGATGAACTTTTGGAGCAAACCCAAACCCAAATGGCTATAAATGAGTGAGTTTGACAGATACTGAGCTAAATTTTGGTGTGGTAGTAGCTGAGAGTCTACACCAGGTCACTTCAACTAAACTGCTCAGGGGGACACAGTTGCTGAAAGCCAAGAGCTCAGGGACCAGACATCCAGCAGTTGTCATTAAGTAAGTTTGTTTTATGGTTTAAAATCCAGTTTTATTTTAAAATGAACCCACTGGTGGGGCGAACTGAGCTCACTCGTGGGCCTCATCTGGCCCCCGGGCCGCCAGTTGAATAACCCTGTTCTACTGCATTGCATAATTGGAGTGCGAACAGATTGTGAGAAATCTGTAATTTTATCATTTTTGCTAAATAAAAGCTGTAACCAGGCTGTAGTTGTGTGTGTGTTGCACCAGTCTCTGTCTCTCCAGGCCATAATACCGTTAAGCATTCTTAGAGCTAAAAACAGATGGAGCTGGTTTTAGAGGCTACTTCTGATCTTTCATCAGCAGCACTGAGCTCGTGTGTGCTCCTGCAGAAATCCTCAAACTGACCTTGAGTCAGCTGAGGGTGGATTTTTATTTTTTCGCCTGGGCAGATGGTGAAATCTTTGATGGTGCAGATAATCGAGGCGATTCTGATCCAGTCAGTCTTCAGCAGGACACCTGTGAGCAGGATCAAAAGCCCTCGGCTGCTCGTAGAACCGTCGGTGAACGACCTCTGCTGCTAAGAACCTTACTGTAATCTCTGAGCAGCTCTGCCAGATTATCCTGCCTCCATCCTCCAACGCATCATCTAATGCTATTGTTTCCCTGACGCATGCACCCTCGCACACGTGTGTGCTTCTGTGTGTGTTTGAGGATCCACTGAGGAGTGAGAGGATGTCCTGGTGCGCCTGGATGAGTGTAAGAGATTATCACTGTCTGCAGTACAAATAGAAATGAGATGATCAGAGAATAGTAAATCCTCCTGGTTTGATTTTTTTTTTAGCTGGTTGGAGTAGTTAAAGAAAATGGAAGAAGCAGATTTACACAAATTTATAAAAGAATCTGCGGACAACAGCTTGTCAGCACATCAGTCTTGACTCGTTGAATCTCACTTTAACCACATTTGATCCTAATTTATCCACATAATAATTAAAAATAACAAGCATGATGCCGAGTGGTGACCCTACATGCTGTAGATCTTCAGCAATAAGGTTTTTAAGGGTCAAAAGTTCTTAAATCATTGGTCCATGATAGATTTTTCATTTCTGACCCTTAAACTGACACTGACAATGACTTTTGGACCCAATCCATTGACTTTTAAAATACAAAACTGTTACTGATTCTATAATGGCAACACTAAATGTCTTAACCTCCACAGTTATGTTTTTATTAATCTATGCCAATTGTTTTATATTTTGGATTAAATTTGATGAAAATATGCCCTAAGCAATGGTTTAATATGGAGATGGGCTCCAACTTGGAGTCTCATGACCCACACTGGGGTCTAAGCCTAACTTTAAAGTGCTTTGATAAGCATTTCCTACAACTACAAAAAGTGGAAGAAAACATCTCAATATTAAGGAGTTTTGTATACAATATATTCACAATTTTACTCATTTTGTCACAGAACTGTCAGATTTTATTTGGTCTTTGTGCAGGCAGAGTGAAACAGGAAGTGGCATCAAGTGGGAACTTCCTGGTTTATTAAAACAACATTATTTGAACTCTGACCCGTTTTCATCTCTCTGACAGTGACTCAGAATAATCTAACAGAACATCCCATTTGTCTGCTCTGTTGTTAGCCATTGTAGCAACGCTCTGTTCACATGCAGGCGTTCCCCTTTGACATCACTTCCTGTTACAGCTCATGAGAATATCTCAGTTGCATTTTTATTTTATTTTAAAATACGTTATTGTTATCTTTCATAAAATGTGCTCATAATTATTATTAAAAAAATGTTTAAAAAAACGGGTTTAGATGAACATAATGTCAGAAAAGAACAAAACACGAGAGAACATTATAAGATGGAACAATGTGTTTCTATTTGACTTTTTATATAGGATTCATATACTACACATACATACAATACGATATAGGAGTAGTTTACTCTTACACTCTTTACTATGGAATAGCAGTTGTTTTGTTAGTTGTGTGTGTGTGTGTGTGTGTGTGTGTGTGTGTGTGGTGGTGTTTTATCCATTGAATCCATAGGTGATCTTCTTAACACAATCAACAAATTCCTCAAATGGTCCATTTAGCAACAGTTGTGCAAACTTGTAAACTATATACTGTCTGTATATATATATATATATATACACACACCCCAAACCACAATAAGTAAGTTTTAAATTCTAATCCTAGGTTTTCATTTGTCAAAATAGAAACCAACACTCCTTTGTCCTCCCTGATTAGATAAGTTCATGCAGTAAAGCAATAATCTCACTGTTTAAAGTGATGTTTGTGCTTATAACACTATTATTATATATTACAGCTATAACTATTTTGCTGCTTGAATATTTTCTGAATGTATATCTGGATTCATTTCAACTGAACTTCACCAATCAGTCACTGGGGTCCACAACATTTTCTGGATGTGTGTTTTCTGTGGAATTGGGAGACTGCCAAGTCAACTTCCATCACACTTCAGTGTCGTCTTGCTAATATAAAATCCAACTCTGCAAATTTGATAAAGATTTTCTTCTGGATAAAGCTGGTGTTACTTTAAAATTTAATAAAAGTTTAATCAAGCGACACAAACACTTCAGTCTCTTCTCATCCTTTTTATACCCACCTTGATCGAAGGGTCTGGATGGAGTCCACGTTCCCGGCTCCTAAAACACAAACAAATAAATTATGTTTTTACTGTACATCATAGAAACGAGAGCACGGGACTTTCAACACAAAACGATACCAGACGTCATCATACAAACCTCAACTTCCTTTGTGGGAAAGCGTTGGAAGGACAGAGAACCAGGAATTAATTTTAATGTTTATTTTTTAAACATCACTTACTCAAACAAGCACACGGTTACAAAACTGTTCCAAATGGGTAAAACACGAGTGTATTTAGTAAAGTCTTGCTGCTTTCATGCTTCATACTTTCAGTTGTGTAAATGAAAAAACATTTATTTGTGTTTGTGGCATGACATGAACACATAACATACAAACAGACTGAACAGGTTGAATAAATAAAAAAAGCTTTTTTAAATTCAGATTTAGTCTACAAATATGCCGCTACATGAAGGTAAAAGGACACATTTGGTAAATAAAGCATCATTTGCAAAGAAACATCCATAACATGTTTGCGATTTGAAACTGTGCTGTGAGAAAGTGGAACTTAAAAACATGAACACGGTCTTCTGGGTCGTATTTATCGTTTTAATTATCGTCTTTTACCAAAAGGTAAAGGTGGGTGATCATGCTTTTGCTTGGATGTGCTAGTATTACCTTCTCATAGACCGCTGAACGGTCGTACATCTACAACCAACTAACCCTGGAGTCAATCCAATTAAAAATGGCTGCCACGGCTAATCAGCATTAGCCAACACAGATGATTTTAGCCTAAAACATTCAGACATGACACAATATACGTTGATTTGCTTTTAATTTTCCTTTTGTTTTCAGCTCCAGTTTGAGAATGCATAACGTTCTTATTGCCGTACATTCCTGTTCCTCTTCTGAAAACCTTTAGTCATATGACTAAAGACATGTATATGTCACTTCTATCCCCAGAATCAATTAGAGGCTCATTAGGTGTTGGGTGCATCTTTTAAAAGAGGCTCACGACTCTGTATTCAGTTTGTTGGTATCAACATTCAAATTGAGATTCTGACTAATACCTCAGAAATAACTCCTGACTATCACAAAAAAAAGTTAAATCATGTTATCTGGACAAGTTTCTTTAAGGGAGAAACATTTCGTCTTTCATCCAAAAGACTTCATCAGTCTGCGGCCTGCCAATCCAGTTCTGTTCCTTAAATAGCACCTCATTGATGTGTTTCAAGCCAACCTCCTCTTGAATTCCCAGAAACCAACTTCTAACACATACAAAAAAGGGACCATCCGTCCATCAATGCGGCTCTTTTTTTTTTACTTTTGGACATTTGTTATGATGTGTAACCATGACAACAAGGTGTTTCTTTACAACTGGGAGCTGCTGATTAACATCTCAAAAGCTCAAATATTTAATCTACAGCCCCAAATCTCAAAAGAGTTGAAAAGGAGATGCTGTGGATGCATTCCTGTCTCCCTGCCGGCTTTGCTGGAGTGCCTGACCACTGTGATTCTGCAACTAGCAGGAAATGCGGCTCGTGACAGCAGAAGGACAGGATCGTCCCCTGGCACCTGCAGCCGGCTGTCTGCAGTGACAAGGAGCTCGGCAGGCTTCTGGAAGGAGTGGCCATTGCTCTGGGAGGAGTTCTGCCTGGCATTCGGGCAGTCCTGCAGCCTGGGGGAACCAAAAGGCCAGTCAAGTCTGGGTGGATGGATAGGACATCTGCGGCCAATTTCTTCGGATCTGCTGTGGGACTGACCTTTACAAGAGATCCCTCCTGCCTACAGCCATCAGTATCTATAACATCTCAATGAAATGAGGATAACAATATTTAATTTCCTTTTGGGATTAATAAAGCATTTTTGAACTGAATTGAATTGAAAGATAAAATGTTTCTCCCCTATAAAGGACGACTGTGGCTGAGTGGTTAGAGCAGTCGTCCTCCAATGCAAGAGTTGGGGGTTCAAATCCACTAGCAGTCACATGCCGAAGTGTCCTTTGGCAAGACACTGAACCCCTTGCTGCCTCCGATGTGTGTTCCATCAGTGTATCAATGTGATGACGCTCTGATTAGTCTCTTTAGAATGATTTGTTCAATTAGCTTTGTATAGATCTAGTAGAGTGCTGTATGAATAGGTAAATGAGGACACAGATTGTGTTGTAAAGCACTTTGAGTATCTTGATAAGATAGAAAGGTGCTATACAGGTGCAGTCCATTTACCATTTAAAGAAACTTGTCCAGATGACATGATTTAACCTTTTATGTGATTTTTCTACCTGGGTGATTGAGCTTACAAAACTTTTCCTTACTATCGTATATAGACGTTTGTAGACACCAAATTTTCCTGACTTTCTGGGAGGAACTGTTGAGTGGAGAGCTGAGTGAACCCCACATGGCAGGACTGACAGGTACACTAGATTTATTATAACATCTTTCACTTCCAGGCTGGTCTTCTTGTCAGTTCAGTTGGTCAGCTTGTTTTGACTCTTGTAAACCACACGCCAATCTGAGATAAACACCAACTACTCCTTCAGAGTCGTGACATGGGGGTTAAATGGGGAGTTATCAGGTCTCTCTTGTAAATGAGTCCCTAAGGCCCAATAGGATTAATCTGTCTAAATAATGGTTGAATGAATGAATGATAGATGCTGACTGGTATCTTTTTTTTTCCAGCGAAGACAAAAAGCACAGTTTGGATTTTAGTTTTGTTCTTTTCCAGTCCAAACAGGCGTCCTTCCAACACAAAAGCAAGAAGAAGTCTGAAATCATCAGCAGGAGGCGACCTTTGGGTTCTCCATAGAAACCACATTCTTTAGCCAAGAAGCCTCAAAGAGGAGGGTGAAAACAAAATATGCACAAGTGTGGTTTTGACGATGCTTCAGTGCTCTGAGCAGCTAAAACACTCCAAGTTGAGTAAAGTTTCTGTTTTTGGTTGACTCGCTTGTCAGCATATGTGTTGGGAATCGATCTGAGCCACTAGCACAACAAGATTTAGCTCACTATCTGTAAAATTAACAAATTTATCACAACTTTTGTCTTTTTTAGGGCCAGACAGCTTTGGCAACCATGTTGGGTTGGGTTGACTCCAAAAGTTAACGAGTCATAGAGGTCCAAAAAAGTTTCAAGAAAAATCTTGTGAATAAAAGAAAAGCTTGCTGTGTTTTTCAGTTAAAATGCTTACAAAAAAATAATAATAAAATTAAATAAAATAAAAATTAATATATATATATATATATATATATATATATATATATGTTTATATATATATATAACTATGGCAGGACTGACGTGTACACCATTTATTAAAATTAATATATAAAACTCTAGATGGCATTAATCTGGTCTCCAGCTCTAATGTTAAAAATCTTGGTGTTGTTTTTGATCAGGACGTGTCTTTTATCCCCCCACATTAAAAATACTAGAACTGCCTTCTTCCACCTGCGTAACATCACTAAAATTAGAAACATCTTATCTAAAAATGATGCAGAAAAACTGGTCCATGCATTTGTCACGTCTAGACTGGACTACTGCAATGGTTTATTATCTGGGTGTCCATATACGTCTTTAAAACATCTTCAGTTGATCCAAAATGCTTAACTGGAGTTAGTGGGAGAGATCATATTTCTCCAGTTTTAGCTTCTCTCCATTGGCTCCCCGTCAAATCCAGAATTGGAATTCAAAATCTTACTTGTAACCTACAAAGCCTTCAATAACCTACCTCCATCTTATATTACAGATCTTATTGTTCCACATTTTCCTAACAGAGCACTTCGCTCTCAGACTGCAGGTTTACTTGTGGTACCTAGAGTTTCCAAAAGCAGAATGAGGGGAAGATCGTCCAGTTATCAGGCTCCTCTCTTGTTGAACCAACTTCCAGTTTATGTCCATGGGACTGACACATTGTCCAGTTTAAAGACTGGGCTTAAGAGTTTCCTTTTTGATAAATCCTATAGTTAGGGTTGGCTTGTTATGCTGCTATAGGCTTAGGCTACTGGAGGATAAATTGATCTCATTTCCTTAATATTAGCTATTAAAATTTAGTAGTTTTCATTTGATACTATTTCAATCTTAATATGTGATTCTTGACCTGCCATTGTGTATCTGTTCCTCTCAAACGCAGCCAGTTGAAGCAGATGGTCACTTGTCCTGAGCCTGGTTCTGCTATTTCTTCCTCATGAGGGAGTTTTTCCTCTCCACTGTCGCCTTCATGCTTGCTCAAGATGAGAGTTCTGTGATGGAGTTAAATTCAAAGCAGTCTGCTCCTCAGATAAATAATGTTATTAACTTACTTTATATATATGAATGTTAGTGTTCAGTGCTGAGATGACTTCTGTTGTTACTATATAAATATACTGAATTGAAAACTGAATTGAATAGAAATAACCAAAATATTGACATGTATTAATGATGTGTGCACTACATAAGGATTGAAAGTGTTACGTCTTGTGTAACTAAATGCTTTACACAAATCTTCCCTAAGGAAGTGACTCAGTTCAGTGTGATTGTGATCCATCAGTCTATATAAGGAATGTAAGCAGTTCGCCGTCTTTTAATAGCGGTACCAGACGGAGACTCCCAGCAGGTGAACAACAAACAGCTTCAGACCTCCTCCCTCAATTTAAACCCTCCTCTACATCGTGTTGTCCCTGATTCCGTCGCAGTGACAAACATTTCATGTTTACTCACTTGTCTTCAGTTTTCACTCAGTCACTCTCACACATTCTCCTTATTTTGCCTTCAGAACTCAGTTACGTACATTACAACATAGATGTAAATAGCTGTTTTAAGTGCTCTATAAATAAAATGGTACTGTAAACATCAGGTGTGTAGTGAGCCACGCTGGTAGCAGCCTTTCTTATTTCACTGATTAGTCAACCAGTCATCTGGTGTCCTTCGAACTATTTGCATAACAGCTGCTTTACAAACAGACAAAAGGCTGAATTCCAAAGCAAATGTTTACATTTGAGAGTGAAATATTTATGTTTAGAAGTTCAGGATTATATTAGATTAAAGATTAAGGTTAGAGTGAATCTGAGGTCACTTTTAGGTCCTGTTTACACGAGAACAATCTCTGGAAACATCAGTGCTTTTTCAATGTTCATTGGGATGAATAAACAGATAAAAGAGTAAGTTTACATGGAGATGCTGTAGTTTTCCTGCCAGGG